CGTAATGTGTAGTTTGGTGGCTGTTCAACTGTGTTCCTCCATTTGTCCCTATTGCTTCTACTCCATGCTGCTTTGAGAGATCTGAAACAAAAAAAGCTGGTTATGGCTTGCTGAAAGATTTTTGAGAAAATCAGGATTGGGATCAACTTTGTTTCTCTAACTGCCTGAGCTATGTACACACATGGAGAAATCTGAAGTCCATTTCTGTGGCTCTTGAGGTTTCTAAGATTTTTTTTCCAGAAGTCAGTGCACTACATCTGCAAAATTTTCTTGTCTTTGTAAGAAGTATCAATTGTTACGCTTTATTTTGGAAAGGTGAAAGGTATATCTGTCTGTGTACATGTACTTTATGTACTCACTTTGACCATTCCTCTAGGATGAGAAGTGCAAATACAATGCATCATCAGTTGGTGTCGATGACACTGGTTTTGTTGATGTTAAACATGGAAATGAGGATGCCTTGAAGTCTGCTGTTGCCACAGTCGGACCAGTCTCTGTAGCAATTGATGCTGCACATACGTCCTTCAAACACTACAAGGACGGCGTTTATGACGAGCCTGACTGCAGTAGTGTTAACCTGGATCATGCTGTGCTGGTTGTAGGGTATGGAACAACTGCAGATGAGAAAGACTACTGGCTTGTCAAGAACAGGTGAGTATTTTGGGTGTGGCCTGAAGGGGTACTATAACTTTTTCTGCATTCATTTCTTATGGAAACACAACAGTGTTCCCAGCCTAAACTGGGGAAGATCTGGTGTTAACTGATTCACCATTTCTGGTGGTGAAAGTTGCTTTAACAGTTTTTGAAACATCAAGTGTTACTGTAAGACCACTCAGTGTTGTTCGTAAGCCTGCAAGTAAGTTCTCATGTTTAAGTGTTGCCTTAGGGCACAGCCCTTCTTTACTGTTACTAGTCACTTATGGAAAAGGTACTGAGACCCTTGAACATGTAGAGAAGATATGGAAACTGTCAAGTGACAACAGGTGTAAAAACCTCTAGTTCTAAAAGATATGCTGATTTTGACCTTTTTTTTTCCTTTGGTTTTTGCAGCTGGGGAAATGGCTGGGGCATGGATGGTTACATTATGATGTCAAGGAACAAAGACAACCAATGTGGAATTGCCACAAATGCTAGCTACCCGCTGGTTTAATAACCAGCTAGACTCCATGGACTGGTCTTGAATAAGGAAACAACTTAAAACGGTTTTATGCATTCAGAAGCTTCGTCAAGTTGTTCAATTTATAGTTTACTGTATCATGTAGATGTAATTTTCTTAATAACTAGCTGTAAAATGATTCAGGTTTTAAAATTCTTTTATCCAGTTATTACATTCAATTGACTCGTCAGAGTCAATTGATAGTTAAATACTACTTTTTGTATTTTTTAGTTGAATAGTTGTCAGCTAAAGCTCGTATGATTTGATTGAAGTTTAACACAACTTAGATTTTTCGCTCCGACGAAGGGCTAACGCTCGAAACGTCAGCTTTTGTAATCATTACGGTGGCCGATTTACCATTTCAACTTTGTTGATATATCCAAATTATTAGATTTAAAACAGTAAAGGAACAGTCACCTAGTTTGTCAATATTTAACTTTTACTCGTGCATGTATTTATTAATAGATATTTAAAATTTCTGCAGGGTAATTAGTAAGTAAATGATGTTGGGATTGTTCAAGTACTTGCCAGCTTGTATTCGTAGTTTATAATGCTGTAAATTTTGAGTGATTAAAGTTTTCATTGAAAAGTTGATTGGTGCTCATACCAATGAAAGTGTTGGTGATAAGACTAAGTTGTTATCATTTCTGTCTTTGACCTTTAACTCCCCTGGCCTGATGTTTAATTCTCTC